CCCCCCCCCCGGGCGGCAGCCCTGTGCCGGAGGGGGGATTCCCTTTCCCTAGGCCGCTGCCGGGTCAGGCCCGCGCCGGGTTAGGCCCTGCCGAAAAAACCCCGGTCGCTTGTCGGTGCGTTAAGGTCCTGGCGTTGTTATCTTGGCTCATCGTGCCATCAGGCGTGGAAGTGCGGATGCGGTTACACCGACGCTACGGAGTCTGCTGGCGCAGTTTGTTGTGAACTGGCTAAAGCCCTTTTTGCCGCGCAAACTGTCTGTAAGTGGAGGACACCCAGCCCGTGTCCAGCAGCGGGTCGCCCGCCGCAGCCCCTGCCGCCACCTCCGCAGGTCAGTCAGGGAGAGTCTGCCTCAGGCACGGTTCAGTGGGTTTAAAATCTCCTGTAGCACTGTAGCACATCCCGGCTGACCAATTAGCATAAAATGGTGTTGCTGACAGATTACATCGACATGTTGCGCTGTACCCTGCAGTGATCTTGGAGCAGAGGTGTCTGGTTCAACTGTCAGTGCTGTCAAGAAAACAACCTTTGGTATTAGGATGCCATGGATAGCTGGTGTTTTAATTGGATGTTGCTAGGGCCTCTGCCCAGCTAAATGTGGGTATTGCTGATGTCCTTGAGGAGGCGTTTCAAGGAATCAAGTGTATAAGCAGAATGTAGCGGCTGTAAAGTTATTTTTCAGAAGCTTTGTAGGAGTAATTTTGTAGTGAGAGTCAAGTTAATGTAAGAAGTGAAGTCTTCATTTTGAGCTCTTCTCCTTGCAGGCTGCAGAAGATGTCAATGTTACTTTTGAAGATCAACAGAAAATTAACAAGTTTGCAAGAAATACCAGCAGGATCACAGAACTGAAAGAAGAAATAGAAGTGAAAAAGGTATATTTGCTTCAGATATCACTTATTCGTTGTTGCTCTGAATTAATTTTCAGCTGTAACACAGAAAATGGGCTGTGGATTACTGTAAGTAATGCTGTGGTTCTAATATGGAATTTCTTATACTTTGAAAATAGCCGGAGAATGTTAAAGTGGAAAAAGAGGTCACGAGAAATAAAGGCCGCTAGTATATTTCTGCATGCAGTTCTTAGAACTCCTTAGTTGTCATATATGAAGCATTGTCTATATATAATGGCTGTTTGTAGTGTTCTTAAAATTTCCTGCCTGAGATTGTTCATACTTATTTTTTCTTGAACCAGTAAGGCAGTTGTTTGTTACGTTCTTCTTTCGATGTGTTGACAGAGATTGTCATTATGAGCGCAGAGGTTTTCTCTTGCTAGGCTGAAGAGGGTTCTAATTTTCTTTTTTAGTATTAATTCACTTTCCTTCATCAGTCATAGCATTTCCAAAGAAGTTTTACCGAGTTTTTAAAAAATGCTAGTACTGTCACAAAATGTTTTCTATAATGACTTTGCCTGATATGTATATTGTAAAAATGTTGCCTTTTTATGTTGATGTTCCATTGATGGCTTAAGGTGCTGGGACTCTAAGCAATCCTACTTTTGCAATAAAGTAATTAACATTTGCTATCTTATTTATTATTTTTTTCTGTTATCTAGCTAAAGAAAAGAATTTCTGTGTAAGAACATATCAGATATTGGTGAAATTTAAATCTGAAGTGTTTCCCCCTTGTCTGGACAATTAATTATCCTATTAATGACAGATAATGAGTATTGACTAGAAATTTCTACTGGTACAGGTCCATTGAATTAAATACTTATGCTAAATTACAGCTCTGGAACTGTTCTATTAAACATGTTGATATCATGCTGGCAGGTAGGATTTTTGCCCAAAATGAAGACTCACCGAGTTCATTATTCGGCTGATAGCATGACAATGTATCTGTTGAAATAATTTACCTAGTACAAAGTGACCACCTTTCTTACGTCTTGATAAATAGAAACAACTTCAGAATTTGGAAGATGCTTGTGATGACATCATGATGCTTGATGATGGTGATTCACTTCTGATACCCTACCAAATTGGAGATGTCTTCATTAGTCATTCCCAAGAAGAGACACAAGAGATGCTGGAGGAGGCAAAGGTTTGTCTGGGCAGTGAGCGTTGGAATGGGATGATCTGTTCATCCTTTGAACCTTTTACTTTCTAAAGTTCACGTTTGATTTATGATGTGAGGAGGGGGATGTGCATGCACGGTAAGCCGTAACTGGGATCTCAGTATACAAAGTCATGCTAGCCTTTGTTTGGCCCCGTAATAAGTCTTACAGCCTGACTTGGCAAAAAGTTGGCAAAGAGGTACTTCTTTATTGTTTATACGTTGCTGACAAACATGACTCAGTTTGTTTTACATAACTAGTTGATTTTTTTTTTCTTTTTCAGAAAAGTTTACAAGAAGAAATTGAAGTGTTAGAATCCCGAGTGGAATCAATTCAGAGGGTGTTATCTGACCTGAAAGTTCAGCTCTATGCAAAGTTCGGAAATAACATAAATCTTGAGGCTGAGGACAGTTAAAGGTGTTCTAAATATACCATACAACTTTTCCGTGTTTTATTAAATGTTTTGACATTGTTACAATTACATTTAAAAAAAAAAATCCACCACTTTTTTGTTTGTTTTGTTTTTTGTTTAAGTTTCCTGTCTTGGGTTCCATCTATTTAATCAGAGCTTTCTTATTTTGGTTATTGCAGTTATTTATTTGTTTAGGAAAGCATTAACTTCATACTGTTGGTAAAGCATCAAGATTGGAATATTTGCATTGTTGATTAAAGTAATAAAGTCAGGCACTTATTGTAGTTTCCTTGGTCTTTTCCACTCATGAAAATACTTAAGTATAAAAACAATAGAAATGGGGAATCTTTGATTTGCACTGTAATGCCTGTTTGATAAAAGTTTCTCTGTAATATATAGGGCATGATCTCACAGTCAGCTGTAATGCTATTTAGCTGTTTTTAGCAGCCCTCCTGGAAATACTAAATCTATCCGTTGTCTTTCAGTCTTAACTCACAGAGCACAAACACTGTAAGCTCAGTGCACAACATGGCAACAAGTTGACAGGGGAGAAAGGAGGGCTCTTTAAAGCTCGCATCGGTATTGAATAAAAGCTTTTGGAGTCACAGTCATATTCAATCACTTACTACTTTGTATTTGGGAATAGCAAAAGATGCTGTAAATCAGAATGGTGTCTTCTAATTTTCCTGAACAGTCGTTTTCTAAATCCACATTTATGTATCAAATTAATGTCAGAATTGTTCATACATGATGTTGCTACGTCAGCATCAGTCCCTGGAACTATGTCTCCCATCGCTATGTGGAGTTGAATGTAATTTTTAAATGTCTTAATTTGCTGACTCATTACATCCTGAAAAAAAATGAGATGCTGTCTCGCTGTAATTCTGCTTTTGGACTGTTGCCTGCTTTGATTAATGTATTGTTCTGTGGAAATACCTGCTCATTATGACTTTGTTTTTAAAAATGAAATCTTAGCATATGTAAATCCTGAACAGTTGTTTTCTAAATCCACATTTATGTATCAAATTAATGTCAGAATTGTTCATACATGATGTTGCTACGTCAGCATCAGTCCCTGGAACTATGTCTCCCATCACTATGTGGAGTTGAATGTAATTTTTAAATGTCTTAATTTGCTGACTCATTACATCCTGAAAAAAAATGAGATGCTGTCTCGCTGTAATTCTGCTTTTGGACTGTTGCCTGCTTTGATTAATGTATTGTTCTGTGGAAATACCTGCTCATTATGACTTTGTTTTTAAAAATGAAATCTTAGCATACGTAAATTGTCTTTTTAAGCTATTTTCCAAAACAGTGTGGACAGAGAATGCAGTTGGCAAAATATTAATCTACAGTAATTGTTCTTAATATGAATAATCAGAGTATGAGATGACTATATATTTATAAAGTGATTAGTACCTGCCTATCATAGGTCAATCGTGTAGCATCTTTTCTTCAAAGAGCGTGAACGTGGATTAAAAAAACCCCACTTGGTTTCTCTGTTATTGAAGTAGTTTTAACAGGGTAGTGAAATTGAACTTGGATTTTCAGTACACCTGAGCAGGATTTCACCAGTGGATTGTTATTTATGAATTACAGTGTTGTAACTTACATAGTTGTTTACGTAAGTTTGTTAAGGTTGTATATAAGGTTTAGCAGAGCCATAAGAGAAGACTCTCTTCAACAGTGAAGCTCTAATACCTCAACACAAGCACTTATGTTACATACAATGTATATCAACTGCTGGCTGTACGTCTCAATAGCTGTGCTAATGTTCTGTCTAGCCCTGGCGTTTCCCAGGTTTCTCTTCGGTAGAATTCCAATGGTTTGTATGCTGCTGCTGCTGAACATCTGTACAAATACCCTGGCTATAACTGTACAGATTTTTAACATTTTCTAATTGGTTGCGGTTTTAATTCAAACCTGTGCCTCAGGAAAGAGTTCAAGTTTTTCCTTACTTCCCGAGTGAATACTTCGGCTACTCTTAGGTAAAATGTGGATATGGTAGCCATGGCAACTCTGCTGCTCTATCTGTCAGCCAGTGCTTGTAGCAAATCAAGTGTGTTGGGCCTTCAAGGAGATGCAGGTGTTCCTCTGCGTAATTTCTGAACCCTCCATACGGTTTTCTGCATTAGGCAGGCGTTTGGCACCGAACTACTTGGAGCCGTTCTGGATTGACCAATTACTGTTATTTTAGGCACTAAAGGGAGAAGAAGGTGGCCATTTATTTGAGAGCAGCTGATAGGAATGTTGTGGACTTAAGTGACTCAGCTCTGCCTCACCCTGCTTTATTAGATATAGCTTTTAGTCCTTAAGGACTGTGCAGTTTGAGAGCTAAGTAATGCAAGGTTACAGTCTTAGGAGGTGCTGGTATCTTGAGTTTTTTTCTAAACAGCCAAACAATTCATTTGGTATGTTAAAATAAACCATCCAATGCACTTGTCTTTATAATTATAAACCAAAGAAAATGTGAAAGACTTCTTTTTCCAGGTGAAAACTGAGCTAGTGATGGAGTTTGACCCATAATGAGAAGCATCCAGCAGATGGCATCAAGGAACTGGGAAACCCATTTTACGGTAAACTCATGCCTAGGCTGTGAGTGCCAGGGCTGATTTTAGTAAAGTGAAACTTTGGCTGCAATGATCACATTCCCATTAATTGGTTGGTAACACTTTAAAATTCATGCCTAAGTGACTGCTGTGCCAGCTCTGCAGTTCTGAGCATATTCACGGCTGTGCAGACTGCAGGTATTTAAAATGATTGCGATTTCCAGATAGGCCATAGTATGGATATGGCTTCATTATGGAAAAGAAAAAGGTGGCTAGTAAGGTTTCACTGTGATTCCAGTGGCAGCTGTAAGGCCGATGAGGACCTTAGTTCAGTAAAGGACCCAAAGGGAGAATGCTGGCAAGGTGTGGAGAGCTTGCATTATCCTTGCTGTTCTTCGGTGTTCTAGAAGTGGAATTGTCCATATATATAGCCCTGGTGTTTAGGGAAAAGAAGGCTGTTAGAGTGTTCCTGTGAATGCCAAAGGTCTTTCCTGTCTGGTGCTGGATTTCAGTCCTTTGGGGTTTGTTTTGTGACCTCCCCCTTATTTCCTTTCTTTTTTCTGGTTATCATGGTGTTGGTGTATTTTAGGCCATTTCACTAGGCCTTCCTGCACTGCTGGAGTTTAGGCTTTTACACGTATGATGCATCTTTCCTGTTTGCTTAGTCCTTACTACAAATTGTATGTCCATGAAGCCTTGAAAATCTAGGTGCCTTTTTGCACATGTAATGTCCAGTTTCCTTGTATGGTTTGGACAATTGTGTTTGCAAGTCAGGCGAGTAATTATGGAACAAACTTTTTCAGATTAGCCTCTGGATTTTTGTAATTTACAGAACATGCTGTCCCAGGCTATCATTTGATATTTTTACATGCATAAAATAGAACATGCAGAAAACTCTTTGTTCTTAAGTTGTCATTGTAGAAGTTAATTTGCAGATTGTCCATCAGTTGCTTGAAACTATTTGACAGAGTCCTAGTTTTTCCTTTTAATAACCTTTCTCCTCCCTAGTGAATATATGCAATTGTTTCTCAGTTGGCATTTATTCTGTTTAGCGCCCTATCTTCGAAGTACCTTTTATTTTTGGTAGATTGGAAATTTCTGTTATCTCTAATAGCGTTTGCCTTACAGTTATCTTGTTCAGATAATATAAGTCCATGAAAAAAACCCTGATCCTTTATGCACCTCTGTACATGTCATGAATCATTTAGCTGCACTTGGCAATATACATTTTTTAATATCATTGTCAGAATGCAAATAGTTTACTGTCATTCTCTGTATTGTCAAGGGAGTGACATTTGTAAAGCACTTCAAAGATGAAATGTACCGTAGAAGTGCTAAGTGTTATTTTCATCTAAGGGCTTCGTTTAGAGCATTGGGCCAATGATCTCTTATGATCTCGTAGTGATTGAATTAGCTATTCAGCTCCATCTTTGTATTAAAATAGAGTTTCCATACTGTTTTTGTTTTGCAAGTCATAGAGCCACCAGTGGCTGGCTTTTCACTTGGTTGCAGCAATTAAAGCAGGTAAACTAGCAAAACTGCAGCCAGTGAAATAGAGCTCATTTCAGTGCATGATGTCAAGGAGACTTAACTTACTAGTTTTTCAAAGCAGCCTGCTAAAAACTCTGTAAACATAGTGGGACACAATTATAATACTTGTTACATTTTCAGGGGCTTGTTTGTGATTCTGTATCTGTCAGCTGATACAAAAATGATCTCTAGCATAACCTTCTCCAGTGGAACTTTCATTATTGCTCATTGCTTTTGTATAGAAGATCCTTGGATACCATTACGCTCCATAATGTAAATGTGGTTGATAATTATTCAGTAATTATAGGAAGCGGTGTGTAGCCGAAGTACAGATAATTTTGTGGTATTAGCTATCACTTCAGAGAGCAAAAAGAGATTGAATGCTGAATACTAAAGCCATATTTTCTGTAGGAGCAACAGAATTAAGTAGTTTAGTTTGCATGAGTCAGTGGTTCAGATAATTTATCTAATGTTATTCTAATAGTCTGATTCATGAAAGAGAAAAAAAAAATGTGGATGTGCATAGGCATGATAAGGCCTGACAGAAATTACTTAGAACCAAGTTTGTCCTTATATTGATTGTATGAGTCATACAGAAAAACAAATTATTTTGCAATTAAACGTTAGCTGCTGATTGGACTGCACAGGACGCAGTGTTCCAAACACAGGCATAAATGGCTATGAAGGATTTCCCTCAGCAAGAGATGAAACAGGTTTACAGTTAAGGGGGACTGCATCCAGCTGTGAGAGATGTAATAAAAAAAATATAAACCTGAGTAGAACATCAGACACTTACTGCAGATTTACAAAAGTCTTTTGTTTGCTGTTGCTCTCCAAAGCTGGTTAGTATACTGTGACTTTGATCTCGATTTTTAAACTGCAGGTATCGTTAGGTGGCCCTCTATAGTCATGCCAGCAAACCCCACGCTTGGGGACGCTGAGTGATGGGGTGCAGGGTTATAATGTAAGTTCATCCAAGGGTTGCTTCAGGATAACCGCTGTGGTCTGGCCTGGCATTGTTACCACTTGTACATCTTGTCTCTCCTCTCCCCTGTACTTGATGTTGAAATACAGGCTTGGCCAGTACTACGCCTGGCCATTTCCTTAAGCTATTAGGAAAATTTTCCTGTTTGCTTTCTCAACACAGCCCAGCACAAGTGAAGAAAAACATTGTTCAGTGGATTTTTAGATTCTGTCAAGTTT